CGTCCTACTTCTCACTTGACATTACATTGTGAGCACTTTCAGAATGTCAGTTCAAAATGAAATTTTCTCATTTGAGTGCACGTCAGTAAATTTCAGCAACCTGACATTAAACATTACAATCACTTTCATAATTAAACAGATACCCAGTTACATCTTCCTCATTTGGCAGAATCTCACTTTGGGCAGGGGAGACCCCAGTGTGCTTGGTTAAAATTCCTTCTCGGCTCCTGATACTGGAGCCACGTGACTCAGCTCTGGTGAGTTAAGAATACACATGGACTTCTGCTTAATAAAGCATTTTTTGTTTTGACACGAAAGGACTGACTTAGCAAGCATGAGCCTCTACCCTATCTCTTCGTCTTGCTTAGAGTGCAGACGTGAAACCTAAGAGTACCAGAGGCTCAGCTCAGCACAAGGAAGGCGGCCATGTGCTTTGGATGGCTCAGGGGAAAGACTGGAGGAGCTTGGATCCTTGATGGCAAACCTGCAGGGGCTACTGCACCAGCTTGGGATTGCTGGCCTCTGAATTTCCTGATTTCTGAGGAGAGTAAACCCTCCACTTACACAAGCCCCTTCGAGGTTCTGTTCCATGCAGCCAAGAGTGGTCGTAAGTGATGCAACAAATAACAGTCAAACATGCTTGTAAAGGCACCTCCAAGGGTGTTCTAGTGATTTCTTTAGAATGAATTGCTGGAAGGATTACTGGATAAAAATATTTGAATATTTTTATAGCTTTATTATTGATTTTCTTCTAGATATATGTATTTGAAAGGCAGAATCAGGGCTGGCGCTGTGGTGTAGCGGGTAAAGCCACCACCTGCAGTGCATCCCATATGGGCGCCGGCTGGTTCAAGTCCCGGCTGCTCCACTTCTGATCCAGCTCTCTGCTATAGCCTGGAAAAGCAGTAGAAGATGGCCCAAGTGCTTGGGCCCCTGCACCCGCATGGGAGACCTAGAAGAAGCTCCTGGCTCCTGGCTTCGGATCGGAGCAGCTCTGGCCATTGTGGCCATCTGGAGAGTTAACCAGCAGATGGAAGATTTCTCTTTCTGTCTGCCTCTACCTCTCTGTAACTCTGCCTTTCAAATAAATAAATAATTTTTTTTAAAAGAAAGACAGAATGATAAAGAGAAGGAGAGAGAGAGAGAGGGAAGAAGAGGAGAGAGAGAGAGAGAGAGAGAGAGAATATCTTCCATCTGCTGGTAACTCCCCAAATGGCAAAGGCCAGGGCTGGTCCAGGCTGAAGTCAGGAACCCAGAACTCTATCCAGGTTGCCCACATGGGTGGCAGGCGCTGAAGTACTTGGGCAGTCTGCCTTCTTTTCAGGCACATTATCAGGGAGCTGGATTGGAAGTGGAGCAGCCAGGACATGAACTGGCACCCATATGAGATGCCGATGTTGCAGGCAGAGGCTTAATCCGCTGCACTACAACACTGGCCCCTCTAGAGAGGTTTTAAAAATATTTTAATTTTTTACCATTTTATTAATTTGTCAACCACAAGAGCCCACTTTATCTCATCCACAATAACAGTGAACATCGGGTCGGCACAAGGCTTTAATTGTTTATTTGAATGGCAGAGTGACAGAGAGAGAAAGACAGAAAGACACATAGCTGGTTCTCATCATTTATTTCACTCCTCAAATGCCAAAAACAGCTGGGACTCTTCCAGGCTGAAGTCAGGGGCTGGAACTCCATTTGGGTCTCCCATGCAAGTGTCAGGAACCCAAGCATTCGGGCCATCATATGCTGCCTCGCAAGCACATTAGCAAGAAGCTGGACTGGAAGTGGAGGAGCTGACGCCCACTAGCACTCTGATATGGGATGTGGGTATCCCAGGTGGTGGCTTAACCTGCTGTGTCACAACTCCCATCCCTGGGTTTAATTTTTGTCAGTCTGGTGTACTAGAAATTGTGTTGAATAGTTAAACTTAATTGAAATATTTTTTGATCTAGTAGAGAGGCTATACTGTTTTATTTACATTAATAGAATTAATTTTACCAAGGGGATATAACTACATTTTACTAGTATCATTCTGAAGACAATTTTCAAAATTTAAAATAATGACAACAATAACAACAACCCTCCACAATACTGCATTAGAGAAAATTTATGTTCAGATTATGAGACATAATAGTGCCCACAAAAGTGCTTGGTACAGTTGCCCTTAAAATATAAAGTTGCTGAGCTGGGAAAACAGGCATATCAGTGCTTAAACAGAACCTAGAGTGAAAGAGCATAATTTCAGAGACTGTCAACCAAACTGCAAAATGTCCTTGAAAATAAATCCAGGTTAATACTGTGTATTATTATATTACAGAAAACAAGGCCACTAATTTCTTCCCTAGCACATATTTATACACTGAAAGCAACAGTATGATTAACCTTTGTAATCTAGTTTGTTAAGAATTAAAAACTTAGTTGTGCAAGTTTCTTTTCTTTGAATTGGCAAAGCCACTCCTGACTTCAAGGATTTTTTTTATTAAGATTTTCTACATTCAACACAAAAGTCTTGGTAGATATCAGTTTTACACTCCATTCTTCTTGGGTCAAAAAAATTTTTTTAAAAAATTGTGCTTAACATGTACGCCATTTTTTCTTGCTATTATTCCCTAAACATTACAGCATAACAACTGTTTACATATCACTTCATTGTATTAGATATCAGTAATCTAGAGATGATTTCAACTATACAGGAGGCTGTACATAGACTACACATATGCAAATACTATGACATTTTATATAAGAAACTTCAGTATCCATAGATTTTGCTATCATAGGTAATCCTTGAACCAATCCTCCTGCAGATATTAAGGAAAGATTATATTTGGCACCAGACTATATAGAAATATACAAGAGTACATCTTAAATCTGTGTTACTTTTATAGAAATTGCCTTTTAGTTCTTATTCAATCACAAATTATACCATACTTGCTTAGTTTATTTCATTGCCAAGCTTAACCTCTGTCATGTAAAATGTTGATTAGGTTAACATTTGTCTAATAGAATTGTCACAAAGATTAAATCACTTAATATAGTATCTGCCTGGCAATAGTTAATCACTGTTAATTTCCTTCCTCAAATTATAAAAGATTTAAAAACGTTTTTTAAAAAAGATATTTATTTATTTGAGAGGTAGAATTAGAGAGAGAGAGAGAGAGAGAGAGAGAGAGAAAGAAATGTTTTCCATCCGCTGGTTCACTCCCCAGATGGCTGCAATGGCCAGAGCTGGGCTGATTCAAAGCCAGGAGCCAGGAGCTTCTTCCAGGTCTTCCACATGGGTGCGGGGGCCCAAGCAGTTGGGTCATTCTTTGCTGCTTTCCCAGGCCATTAGCAGGGAGCTGGATTGGAAGTGGAGCAGCCAGGACTCGAACTGGTGTCCATATGGGATGCCTGCACTGCAGGTGGGGGCTTAGCCTACTATGCCACAGTTCCAGTCTCTGATATTTTAAAACTTTTAATTCCAATTTAAATGGCAACTCATTTCAAACTATTCCAATATTTCCTTTATTTATAAAACTACGGAAATTTCAGAAACATGCTGCTCTGCTTCCCAGACTTTCTACGTACACAGGCTGGTTCTGGTTACACACACTTCATCATCGGTGTTACTAAGGTTACATTCATCACCTAAGATTTATGACTCTTCCTTAATATACAGGTGACTAAGACTCTCAAATACTTCACTACTGGACATCCATACTTGCAATTAGATGCTGCAATGTTTATAAATAAATATTTTTACTCTTATGCTCCTCAGAAATTTGCCACTAAGTCATTAACTAATTAAAGTACAGAATAAACTTAGCAGCATTCTGTAAAAAAAACATGGCTCAGTAACAGGCAAACAAAAACCATAAAAACACTGGCTCAGTAATATTTCAGCCTGTTCTGATTTATTTAATCAGTTTAAACTGTTACTCCAGAAGGAAATGACGTTTGAAGAATCTTTTTTTTTTTTTTTTTAAGATTTATTTATTTATTTGAAAGTCAGAGTTACACAGAGAGGGGAGAGGCAGAGAGAGGTCTTCCATCAGCTGGTTCACTCCCCAGTTGGCCACAAGAGCCGGAGCTGCGCAGATCCCAAGCCAGGAGCCAGGAGCTTCTTCTGGGTCTCCCACATTCGTGCAGGAGCCTCAGAACTTGCGCCATCTTCTACTACTTTCCCAGGCCACAGCAGAGAGGGTTGGAAGTGGAGCAGCCGGGATGCGAACCGGCGCCCATAAGGGATGCTGGCGCTTCAGGCCAGGGCGTGAATGGAGAAACGTGCATGAATTGGAGCTCTTAGGATAGCATGATCAAAAAGGTCTGAGAGAAGCTGAACGGCTCCAAGATTTTCCGCCCACCGACCTGAAGGTGACGGAGGGAGAAGCAAAGCTGGGAGGGTAAATGCTATTCACCACAGTGTTTATGGTCACGTCAAGATAGCAGCGTTAAGGCATCCCTAGGAAGATGTCTTATTGACATTTGTGATAGACCTGGGGTGGATATCTTTTTAAATTAACAATGTATTATTCTAGCAATTATTATCACTACTACACAACAGGAAGTAATTGTTCAGCAATTTCAGGCTTTTGGAAAAAAAAAAAAAAAAACCCAAACCGCTCACAGAAAAGGCGGAGCCTTCCACACGATTCCATTCATCCTCGAGATCTGGAAACCTAAGCGCCCCGCGTCCAATCAGCTTCCAATCTCTCTGCGTCAGCAAGTGGGAGGGACTCAGAGGGGTTTGGTTCCCTCTGCTCCTCAGGCACGGCCACGTCTAAAACTCAGAAGGTCCTTGAAGGTACATAAATCATCTATGTTATCATCTAAGTTTTTGGAAATACATTAAGATCCTAATCCCAATTTAAGTTTAAGAAAATTAAATAACACAGAATTTTAAATTATATCATTTATCTGTTCTCCTTGGCGTTTTCTTTTCCCCTATGGATGTAATATATACCTCGGAGCTTTCCGGACCTGTCGGTGCCTTCCCCGCGCACGCGCAGATAATGAGGAGGGCGGGCCTGTTTCCGGGTGGCGCGTGGGGCTTGGGGCCCATCGCTGTCCCTGCCGCCGCTAACATGGAGACCTTGTACCGAGTCCCGTTTTTAGTGCTCGAATGTCCCAATCTGAAGCTGAAGAAGCCTCCTTGGGTGCACATGCCGTCGGCCATGACGGTGTACGCTCTGGTGGTGGTGTCTTACTTCCTCATCACCGGAGGTAACTCGGGTGTCTGGGGCCCGAGAGGCGCCGCGCCCGCCTGGGAGGTGCATCTGTGCCGCTGACTCCCTCAGCCCCGGGGAAAGCAGGGCTCTGCCTCCCGATCTTTCAGAAGGTGGAGGGAAGTGCTCGGGTCGTGCTTGTGAATGTCCAGAGGCTATTTGCTCCCGCGCTCTGTCCCGTGGCTTGAGAGAGCGAGTGTTCTTACTCCCTTGGCTGCTCCTTTCCTTCTAATCTCTTATCTTGGGGATGCGAGTTGAGTACATTTTCCAATCCTAAATTGGTGCCCTTGTTATTCTTGCCATACATGGTTTGTCAAAGGGCCTAGGAAAGTCTAGTTTGGCCTACTCTGCTTCCGTAGCTGGGCAAGAGGGTGTCGGACTTCTTCTAAGTTTTCTCGAACCTGGAAAGAGACCTGACCATCCTTAGGTGTGTTAGCTTAAACCTGAGAGTCCAGTGCTTTTTGGGTGATCTACAAAGAATATAGATGGAATTTTCCAAAATCACAGTTTGCACAAATTTTGGAGATTGGACGTGAGATTTGCAGACGGTATTGTGTTTCAGAAGGCCGGAGACAGGAATTAAAAAAAAAAAAAAAGCCTTGCTATTAAGTGCTTTACAATGATCTGTCACGCTGTCGTTTTCAAAGAGAAAGTTGCAAAGGGGCGTGTCCTTGTATCCTGGTGAGTTGGCAATCTGACTGCAGTCTAAACAGCCTCCACCCTTTCAAGCCTCTGTTCCGAGGTTTACTCGACAGTGCTGCTGTACTTTCAAATTTTGGGAAATGTTCAATTTAGTTGGGAAGTTATAAAGTTCAAGCTTTAGCCAACTGTGTAATCGTCATAGCGTCATTTTCATAAATGTTTGTGAGAATAATCGGCACTGAAGGAGGCAGAATATGCAACTGGGAGGGCTTTATTGTAGAAGACACCTTTAAATTCAACCCCCCCCCCCATCTAGAATAGTGACAGTTAACTTACATTCATTTAAATTAATTTTAAATATTTTTGTTCTTGATATCCTATCTCACATTGTATTACCATTAACATTTACTCAGCACATTAATAGGTACTGTATTGAATGAATGAAACTTAAAATGCGTGGAACTTCTTAAAAATGAAAAATAGTTTTCTTTTTTAAAAAAGGTTTGTTTATTTATTTGAAAGGCAGTGCTACAAAGAAGCAGAGGCAGAGAGAGAGAAAGTCCTTCATCTGCTGGTTCACTCCCCAGATGGCCACAACACCTGGAGCTGTGCCAATCGGAAGCCAGGAGTCAGGAGCTTCCTCCAGGCCCCCCACACAGGTCCAGGGGCCCAAAGAGTTGGGCCATCCTCCACTGCTTTCCCAGGCCATGGCAGAGAGCTGGATTGGAAAAGGTGCAGCTGGGACTCGAACCGGTGCCCATGTGGGATGCTGGTGATACAGGTGGCATCTGCTCCTGTCTTGGAGCTGGAGTTTCAGTTTTCATTCCGGCCACTTTTCCTCTGTTGGTGGTTGTAATGGGGGAAGGTGGAAATGACTCCATTTAGTGGTCAAGGCCATGAGATATTTTGTATAAGAAATCTGACCACTAGATAGGAATCTCCCTTAAAAACTATGAGTGTACCTTAGTATATAAGAAGTATATTTGCCAAGAAGTACTCAGCAGTATGTAATGAGTCTTTATTAAGTTCTAGGCACTTGATATTGGGGATAAAAGTTAACAAAGTGTAGGGACCCCGCCTTCCTGAAGCTTATTATATCATAGTTGGGACATATTAAATATCAGAATTATTTTTCCCCTTTACAAATTGTCAGAAATGCAGTGAAGGAAAAAATTAAGACTATGAACAAATACTGGGAATGTGGTTCCTGAGGAAATGTCAACTAGACTCTGAAGGGTTTTGGAGGGTATGTTGTGCGGAGGGAAAAGTATAGACAAATACGGGACTCAGAGACCAGTTTCCTAGCTTGTGTCATTGACTTAGCCTGTACTAGGTGGATGGATATGGAAATGGAGAATAATAAAATGAGAGATATGTTGGAAGCAGATTCAGTAGTCTTGATGGATTGGTTGGATAGAGGGGGAAAAATGAAGTGTAAAGGAATTTATTGGTTTCTGATTTTAGCACCTGAGTAGATGGAATTGATGTTTCGTAGGACTGAAGAAATGAAATTTTTCTTTTTTTTTTTTAATGAGAAGTGTTGAACCAGAGATCGTATTGGGATATAATTAGTTGGATGTTTCAAATTTGCAGATAGAAGTCTAGAACTGAGAAAAGAAGTCTGTGTTGATGTTGTTCAATTAACAAATGTCTCCTGGACTCCCTAAGTCATATATTGAAGAATGCAGAGAGTATCCTTGTTCTTAAGGACCTTTTATGTAATTTTAATGGTTCTAACATCATTTGGCACATTGAGAATCGTTGGCACGTAGAATTGAAAGCCCTGGGAGCTTAATTTTTGAGAGAGTGCAGAGGACAATGGAGCAAGCTCTGAGAGACTCTGACATCTAATGGTTTCATAGAAGAGGAAGCTCAGAGGGATAGCAAGGAAACATGGAGAGGAGTGTCGAGAAAGCTGGATGAAGAGGGTGTTATTCGAGCAAATGGGTTAATGAACAGGATTGAGTGCTGCTGGCAAGTGTGCTTTGGATTCGCTGGTAGAGGTTGTTGACAGCCTTAGCAGGAACACAGTCCGTGGTGGCAGAGGCCAGATTGGAGTGAGCTGAATGAAAAGTTTGCTTAATTCTTTACAGAAAGAAGCCTGACTCTTTCAAAAAGGAAGCATTGAAATAGGATGTTGACTAGGAGCATCTGAAGTAAATGGAGCATAGATGTAGGGAAGGAGAACTTGAGAATATGCAAGGGAGAAGAGAGAACCAAGGACTTTCCTGAGAAGGAAAGGGAACGGAGTTCTGAGAACTCCCACTGTGACAGGAGCAGGGACTCTTCTAGTGTAGCTGGAAGGAAGGAAGTGGGGAAGGATCCAGGTACCAGGAATTTGTAGATTTGGTGGGGAGGAGATAAGGGAATTTCTGTGACTGTTTTGTCAAACTAGGGTCAAGTTGACACTGGATTGCTCTGCTTAAGAAAACTAGAGGTGAGGATGTTTAAGAAAAGTGGAGCCGGCGCCGCAGCTCACTAGGCTAATCCTCTGCCTTGCACACCCGCCGGCACACCGGGTTCTAGTCCCGGTCGGGGCGCCGGATTCTGTCCCGGTTGCCCCTCTTCCAGGCCAGCTCTCTGCTGTGGCCTGGGAGGGCAGTGGAGGATGGCCCAAGTGCTTGGGCCCTGCACCCCATGGGAGACCAGGAGAAGTACCTGGCTCCTGCCATTGGATCAGTGCGGTACGCTGGCTGCAGCACGCCGGCCGCGGCGGCCGTTAGAGGGTGAACCAACGGCGAAGGAAGACCTTTCTCTCTGTCTCTCTCTCTCACTGTCCACTCTGCCTGTCCAAAAAAAAAAAAAAAAAAAAGGTCTCCTTGTTTTACATTTGAGTAAGAAAATTTCTCTAGTTACTTCGCAACTTACAGAAACAAACCTAAACATGTGGAACATTTTAATGAACTAAAATAAGTAATGTTAAATCCCCTTTATTGTGGAATCATTCTTGAGTATTAGCAACTGTTATTGAATGCATTTCCTTTATGAAATTCCTTTGGAGATTATTTTTGTTTTAGTATTTATTCTTAAACATTGAATTAAATATCTGATAAACAAAAGTTAGATTTTGATCAGGGAGCCGATATTGTTGGCTAGTGAGTTAATCCGCTGTCTGTGGCGCTGAAATCTCATACGAGTGCTGGTCTGAATCCCTGCTGCACTACTCTGATGTAGCTCCCATCTGATGTGGCTGGGAGAGCAGCAGAGGATGGCACACATCTCTGGGCCCCTGACACCCACGTGGGAGACCTGGAAAAAGTTCCAGGCTCCTGGCTCTGGCCTGGCCCGAACTCCAGCCATTTGGGGTGTGAACCAGCAGATGGAAGATCTCTGTCTTTCCCTCTTTCTCTCTATAACTCTGCCTTTAAAATAAATAAATGAATCTTAAAAACAAATACAAATCAACATGGTACTGTTCAAATGATCAAGAACCCATAGACACAATAAAAATCACCCTATTTCTAAAAATTAGGAAGTCAATGTCATTTTTCGTATTCTGTTTCACATAGGAATAATTTACGATGTTATTGTTGAACCTCCAAGCGTTGGCTCTATGACTGATGAACACGGGCATCAGCGGCCAGTGGCTTTCTTGGCCTACAGGTAAAGCTCCTTTCAGTGATTTGGTGGTGGGAAAGAAGGTTGCTGGGCATGCCTGCTTATGTAAATATTACAGTAAATACCTATGACAGCCATCTGTGTTAGCCATCTGGATTGAGTTCCTGGCTCTTGGCTTCAGCATGGCTGAGTCTCAGCCATTTTGGGCATTTGGGGAATGATCTCTGTCCTTCTGTTGTATCTTGCTCTCTTTGTCTCTGCACCCTGAAAATAAATAAATAAATTTTTTTTTAATTCAAAATTCTGACATAGCTGGAAGTAAGGCAAGAGTAAGAGTAGAAGTGTATAATTTATTAGCAAAGAATTTCATAATGATTGAGGTATTATCAATTTTAAAGGAGCATATCATTTTAAAGTATATTTATAGACTATTCTGGGATTTAGTAAACTATAGTGCCCCCTGCTGTTTTTGGTAAATAAAGTTTAATTGGTATTAGGCATGCCCAGCTGTTAATATATAATGTAGCTGCTTTCAGGCTACAGTGGTTGAATTGAGTAAGTGACACAAATGTTATGGTCTGCAAACTTAGGCTATTAAGTGCTTTATAATTATCAGCATGTCCAGCCATTGTGGCCATTTAGGTAGTGAGCCAGCAGTTGGAAGACCTTTCTTTCCGTTACCCTTTCTCTTTCTGTAACTCTGCCTCTCAAATAAATAAATTTTTAAAAAAATATTATTTATTTGAGAGGCAGAGTTACAGAGAGGCAGAGGCAGAGAGAGAGCAAGCGAGAGAGAGAGAGATCTTCCATCTGTCTGCTGGTTCACTCCCCAAATGGCTGCAACGGCTGGAGCTGGGCCAGTCTGAAGCCAGGAGCCAGGAGCTTCTTCCAGGTCTCCCACACAGGTGCAGGGGCCCAAGGACTTGGGCCATCTTCTACTGCTTTCCCAGAATGTAGCAGAAAGCTGGGTCAGAAGTGGAGCAGCCAGGACTTGAACTGGCACCCGTATGGTATGCTGGCTCTGCAGGTGGTGGCTTTATCCCCTATACCACAGCGCCATCCCCAATAAATAAAACCTTTAAAAAAAAAAAAAAAGAAAGTTGCTTCTTGAGGTCCTTGAACCCGAGAATTTGATGAAAGCTCAGTATCTCTGGAAAAATCAGGAACATGTATGTACAAATTTACATGTAATTATAATGTTTGTAAATTACTGAGCTCTTTGTGGAGTTCATGGGGGATTTAGTTAAGAATACTTGGTTTTAAAATATTTCCCAGGGCTGGTGTTGTTGTGTAGCTGATAAAGCTGTTGCCTGCGATGCTGGCATCCTACATAGGCTCAAGTCCCAGCACAACTACATTTTTTTTTTTTTTGACAGGCAGAGTGGACAGTGAGAGAGAGAAAGGTCTTCCTTTTGCCGTTGGTTCACCCTCCAATGGCTGCCGCGGCTGGCGCACCACGCTGATGCAATGGCAGGAGCCAGGTGCTTCTCCTGGTCTCCCATGCGGGTGTAGGGCCCAAGCACTTGGGCCATCCTCCACTGCACTCCCTGGCCACAGGACTAGAACCCGGTGTGCTGGTGCCGCAAGGTGGAGGATTAGCCTATTGAGTCATGGCACCGGCCCAGAACTACTTTCAATGCAGCTCCTTGCTAATGGCATGGAAAAGGCAGCAGAATATGGCGCAGATGCTTGGTGCTCTGCACCTGTGTGGGAGACCTAGAAGAAACTCCTAGCTCCTGGCTTCAGCCTGCCTCTGTCTTGGCTGTTGCAGCCACTTAGGGAGTAAACCAGCAAATGGAAGATCTTTCTGTCTTTTCCATTCCTTGTAACTCTGACTTTAAAATGAATAAATCTTTAAAATATTTCCCACTGAAATAAGATGTTTATTATTACAGTAAAACTTCAGGAAACATTTCCAACCAATTCAAAATCAACTTGAAGTTGCCAGAAATTTTTAAAAAAGATTTATTTTATTTATTTGAAAAGCAGAGTGATGGAGAGAGGAAGAAACAGAGAGACAAAGAGATCTTCTATCTGCTGCTTCACTCTCCAAATAGCACAATGGCCAGAGCTGGGCCAGGCCAAAGTTAGGAACCTAGAACCCTATCCTGTTCTTCCATGTGGGTGCTAGGGTTCAAAAAGCACTTGGGCCATCTTCCGTTGCTTTCCCAGTCAATTAGCAGGGAACTACGTTGGGAGTGGAGTAGCCAGGGCTCAGACAGGAGCTCTGATATGGGATACTGGCATCCTTGTTGGCAGTTTAACCGTACACCACAAGCTGGCCCAATAGTAGAAATTTAAATAATGTAACTTTTAAAGGCTAGAATTCTGGGGGAAGGGTTGTGGGTTTTTTTTTTTTTTTTTTTTTTTTTTTTTTTTTTTTTTGACAGGCAGAGTGGACAGTGAGAGAGAGAGACAGAGAGAAAGGTCTTCCTTTGCCGTTGGTTCACCCTCCAATGGCCGCCGCGGCAGGCGCACTGCGGCCGGCGCACCGCGCTGATCCGATGGCAGGAGCCAGGTGCTTTTCCTGGTCTCCCATGGGGTGCAGGGCCCAAGCACCTGGGCCATCCTCCACTGCACTCCCTGGCCACAGCAGAGGGCTGGCCTGGAAGAGGGGCAACCGGGACAGAATCCGGCGCCCCAACCGGGACTAGAACCCGGTGTGCCGGCGCCGCTAGGCGGAGGATTAGCCTAGTGAGCCGCGGCGCCGGCCGCGGGTTGTGGGTTTTTTTAACTAACAATTAAATTGTGAGAATTTATTATTACATAGTTAAAGTTTGATGAGTTTTTATTTTTAAAGATTTATTTATTTAATAAATAAAAGATAAATAAATGAAAGAGTTTCAGAGAGTAGCAGAGAGAGAGAGAGAAAGAGAGAAGGAGAGGGAGAGAATATCTTATCTAATAGTTCACTTCCCAAATGGCTACAACAGCCAAGGGCAGGGCCAGCCAGGAGCCAGGAACCAGGAGCTTGTTCCAGGTCTCCCATGGGTACAGGAGCGCAAGCACTTGAGCCATCCTCTGCTTTCCCAGGTGCACTAGCAGGAACCTGGATCTGGAAGTGGAGCAGCCAGGACTCAACCTGGTGTCCATATTGGATGCTGGCATTGCAGGTAGCTTTATTGCTACGCTACAATGCTGGACCCTTGTTTATTTTATCCTGAGATCCTTCAACCTGTATTTGACACATGACAGACTCTCAATGTATTTGTTGAATGAATGAACAGAATGGTTATAAGGGTATGGATAATTAAATCTAAGAGAGACCTTTCATTTTTCTGAAATTTTTAATTTATTGTTTTGCTGTTTTTTATTTTTCAGAGTAAATGGACAATATATTATGGAAGGACTTGCATCCAGCTTCCTGTTTACAATGGGAGGTTTAGGTTTCATTATCCTAGACCGATCCAATGCACCAAATATTCCAAAACTCAATAGATTTCTTCTTCTATTCATTGGATTCGTTTGTGTCCTATTGAGTTTTTTCATGGCTAGAGTATTCATGAGAATGAAACTGCCGTAAGTTATTAAATACTTTTTGTGTGATCAGCAATTTATCTTGTGTGAAAGGATTATCTGGATGTATTAGTCAGCTTTTCATGTCTTGAGAGGAGCTTCTTGGGAAGGAAAGAGTTTATTATTTTATTATGTTTTTTATTTTTCCGTAGAAACAATTCCAAGGCTATAATGATACTCCTTTCTTTCATCCCTTCTCCCTCCCCTCCTTTTTCTTTCTTCCTTTGTCTTTGAGAGAACATGTTTAATTTACATTATAATCAAAGGCTTAATGCTCCACTAAATGAAGAGTTAAGCAAGTAAAAAGTAAAAGACCCCAG